GTTAAACTTCACTAGATCATAAAAGGATTGGACGAACATGATTACAACAAGTGTGAAAGTGATTCGAGATGGCATCCTTGAGCCGCCGGTACAATAGAACCCAAAATAGATGTAGCCATGAAAGATTTGCATGTGGTGATTGGAACACTAGTGTAAACAATATTGATGCAAATATCCGTAAAAAATTATTGATTAATTTTTTCAAAAAATAAAAATAAAACATTGATTAGTTATTTAATTTGAATTGTAATAAAGCACTTACACGATATCCAGTGTACAGACTACCACAATGGTCTAGGGCTTAATAAAAGTTCTAACTATTGGGTTGTCGCAAAAGCAAGAAATCACAGTAGCAAGAAATCACAGTAGCCAGAAACAGTGACCAAACCAACAGCATGGCCAAGACAACAAGGGTTGTAGTGCTAGAATAGTAAATAAAAGAGAGTAAATGCAATATAGACAAACCGGAATGAGGTGTCGTCATAGGAGTGGGGCTACTCAGTGTAGAGCATCATACTAACTATGTCAATGGCGATGATCAAGGCCACAATCAATCTCGTATATCCAAGTTGCAGTGCTAGTGGAACCTGTTTGCGGTGGTACTCGAGCGTCAGCCATTGAAGATGATTGTTTGATCTATCACCCACTATATATATAATAAATGTTAGAACAAAATTCCAAAAAAAAAAAAAAAAAAAAGCATATGGATTTTGCACATGAATTCCCAGAAGATGGGGTTATATTTTACATCTCAAAGTGGTACGTATTGCTTCCCTTTAAGAAAGTTTTCTTCCTTGTTTTTTCTTATGTTCTAATATATTATTATGAACGTCCTCTTTTATCCTTTGTTTTAAATGGTTACAATAAACAATTGAGTTGCCCAAGCAACCATGAATGCAAATATCTGTTGTTATATGAAAAAGAAATGTTATAACTCACCAAGATTTTAAAGTGTTGTACTTCAATTAGAAACATGGACGGAGCCAAAGGGAGGCAGCCACATATAATATAGTTGTATGTATATATGTATATATAATACACGTTTTAGTATTAGTATAAAGAAACAGATAAGTGTTATTAAGAAGTTTGAATCTTTTGTTGACATTAATACAATTTTACAGTTTCTCTTGACTTCAACACAATAACATTGTTAATATCTTTTTTAATATTTAATAAAATACACACACAATAAGGTGATTGAATGTTAATTTGTACATGTAATCATGTAAATTTTCCTTTGTTAGAGATCATGAGGAAAAAATGAATAGGAATGATGGTATCGTAGGAAAACATGAAGTCATCCCTATATATATATATATATATATATATATATATATATATATATATATATATATATATGTTGTATTTCATTGTTGTAAGAGAAATAGAGTGTTCTATTATTTAACATGGTATCAGAGCTAGATCAATAAAAAGATTAGATCCTTTATTTGAGGCAATAAGGATGGTGAGGAGGGAATGATTTATTTGATCAACAGGGAGACAATTCCTACTTCTAAAAATGAAGGTGAACTTGATCTTAGGAAAACTAGAGACATGAACGTGGCTTTCCTAGCAAAAATGGATTGGAGGCTTATTAATGAGAAGGGCAATTTGTGGACTGGGGTTTTGAAACATAATAAGTAAAGTCTAGTAGTGATGATAGAAGAATCCAAACTCAAAATATCAAATATATTCAAGAAGTAGAAGCATTATATCCAAACTCAAAATAAAAACTGTAATTCCAAACTCAGAAACATATAGCTGCATACAAAAGAGTGATACATACATTTACGGTAATTCCACAATAAAAACTAATTCCAAACTCAAAAACATAACAAAAATTGATAAAAATAAAAAATATAAAAATATAAAAACTGGAAATAAACGGATGGCGATGGCTTACCCGTGGAGCAGTGGAAGGAGGCTGGAGAAATGAAACAAGTTGCAATAGCAATAACCTGAAAATTGAAAGCAAGCGTCATTTAATGATATACACCCTCTATGTAATTCTATACGAATGGAGTTAAAAGATGAAGAATAATTCTACAACATTAATGCTTCTATTTCATAATAGTGTACACATTTATTAGATGTTGAGTTTAACTTATGTTTTTGCTTACAACGCAATAGACCTTAATGGACCTTAGATCTGCTTCATAATCTGGAAGATGGAACAACCTAATAAAAAATCTTATTGTGCAAGAGTAATGAGTTTTAGACAATCATAGCTGTCAAGACAAAAGAGCTATATATAGATATTAACATTGTGCAATAATAAAAAATCATAATTTGTTAACCACATGTTAGTCAAGTAAGGTCATTGTGAGTATGGACAACTTAGTTGGTCACAGGAGTAAAGTTTATAAATAATGATCTAAGATCAAGTTTCACCATCGACAGTGAGGGAGCATCGATTGGATTGTATATGAGAAAAAGCTCTTGCAACACAAGATAGCATTTGAAATGGAAGTCATGGCACTAGTTAGGCAAAACTTTAGTTATTCATCCTATTTTGTATATTATACCGGTATTTAGGTTTCGCTAAATGAGATTAATTTAATCATATTTTGATCAGGTTCTATTTGTCTGATTTTGCATACTATATAATGATAATTAGGGTTCGTTGAATGACATTAATTTAATCAAGTTTTGGCCAGATTTTTTTGTCTTATTTTGCATATTGTACTGATATTTAGATTTCGTTAGACACATGAAAGTGAGAGACTAAAGTGAGAGACTAGTGATGGATAGCCAGCATTGGTGCCCAATAAATTAGTCGAACATAGTAGTCAGCCAGTCAGACCGAACGAAACTAATTCAATTGAGTTTTGATCATAATGTATTTGTCCTATTTAGCATTTTGTGTCTCAATTTCTTTCACGGTAAAAGACTACAATATTCAAGATTAACGGCTTGCCTCAAACAAGATAAAGAAACAAGCATAATTTTTTTTTTTTTTTAGATATTCATAATATGTTCCCTATGGTAACTGAACTCAAGAATTATGGTCAACAAACAATACGAGTTGCCAGGTATATCGGCCAAGGTTTCGTGATTACCCTGTCCCATGCAAATCGTTTACCCGTAACTATTCAATATCCCTATGAAAAATTGATCACACCAGAACGCTTTCGAGGCCGAATCCATTTTGAATTTGATAAATGCATTGCTTGTGAAGTTTGTGTTCATGTATGTCCTATTGATTTACCTGTTGTTGATTGGCAATTGGAAACATATATTCGGAAGAAACGATTGCTTAATTACAGTATTGATTTTGGACTTTCGGTCTTCTGAAATGGGAGCTGTTATTGAATCAGCAGAAGAAAGCATCAAAGCGGAGGAATAGCTATCTTTCACAAGCAATTGAGAGTCGATTGGGCATTCCTATGGTTGATAAGGTCCTCCCATTGATCCCACATCTGATTCGGGGGATTCCGGAGAAGGATGTGTTGTGGCCCCGAACTTCCGCATTCAACGACGAAGTGCCATCTTTATCCGAATGAAGAAAGGAACCTACTAGTCTCTCTGCCATATATTGCGGAAAGACAAGACCTTTTAGATTCAAAAAAAAAAAAAAAAAAAAAAACAAAACAAAACAAGCAACGACTTCTAGTTTAGACTAGCGCTACTTAGCTATTCATATAGTTCTTGTTGAAGCCGTTGTGGCGCGATCGTTTTCAATTTCCCGACAAGAGCATCCGCTTATCAAGGATCTGGATTTTCCGTGCTTAGTTTCACGAATCTTGTACAAAAACAACCATCTCTGGTACTCTCTGGAACTAAGTACCATACTGTTCTTTTAAAGTCCAAAAATTAACCTCTGGAAAAGTAACTTCTGCCAAAAGCGAAAACATTTTTGATCCCTAGCTTTCCACTTAAACAAATGAAGTCAGTATCCGAAGCAGTAATATGCTTAGGATACTGACTTTTACGATGATCGAACTTCCTCGCTTCTTAGTGTTCCACCGCAGCCCCACTGTTCGTGCTCACCCCATCAGGCTATCTATCAGGTCTTCAGACAAATGAAGCGGCTCATTGGAGTGACATCCTAAATAATAAATTCGAATATATATTCTTGTTATCTCATTTTTACCATACTCCTCCCCCTTCAACCTCACATAGTGATCCACTAAACTATAGACTGACTGATCTTGACCCCCCTCTCTAAATGTGATAGCATTACATATTGTAAAGGGTACTCGCCTAGCAGGTATTTGCGTATTGATATTTAATTTTCCATGAGTAAAACTAATTTAATTGAGAAAGTTATAAATTTTCGAAAGAGTAACCATCCTTTTGATGTCAAATAAGTTATTATTATTATTATTATTATTAGAGAAAATGGTCAAATAAGTTCCTAAACATTAGCCAAAAGAGCAATTAAACCATTGAACTTTTAAAAAGAGCAATTAAACACTTAAACTAGTCAAAAATGAGTCAAATAAGTCCGGTTTACCGGTAACCAACATGTTACCGGTAATAATATCACGTTGTCCACCTTTGACCACCATTAAAACCAACTTCCGGTGGCTTTTCTACCGGAAGACGACCCCCAAGCGACCAGTCCGGTCGCCTTCTCCATTAGAGGCGACCAAATCTAGCCGCCTTCTTTGGTCGCCTTCCGCTGTAGATGGCGACCGACGATCGCCGATGATTTGTTCGTCGCCTGTCGCCGGAATTAAAATGACCTATTATAATAAGTCATTTATCGGTTCATGGGCTTTATTGACTCATTTTGACAAGTTTAAAAATTTAATTGCTTCTTTTAAAATTTAGGGGCTTAATTGTCATTTTGGCTAAAGTTTAGGGACCTATTTTACCCTTTTTCTCTTATTATTATTATTATTATTATTATTATATTATTATTATTATTATTATTATTATTTTTGAATGTCTCTTATTATTATTATTATTTTTTAATTTTTTTTTTTTTTGAAAAAAAAAAAAAGGAAGTAACCATCAGGGTGGTTTTTCAGGAGTTAAACAGGGAGTTTATCATCTTCCTCCCACCTCTGTGTCTCTCATACTCATGTCTTTACAGTTTAGAATCCTTCCAACGTTAATCTCATTCATGCTGCCTTGTTTTGCCTTTTTTGTGTCATCTACACAGCCGCTATATTCAAATCCACCATTCATTTCAGGTATAGAACAGCACAATATGAACTTTCTTTGCCTGTAAAACTAAGAAAAGATGCTGTGAAATTACACACAATTTTGTTTCCAGGTCAAGAATCATTCAGGAATGCCGCACATAAGCTGAACCGGCCCCTGGTGGGGGATGATGGAAGGGTCTACGCGTGCTCGGGGAGGAATTTCTTTGCCTTTGAAAGCAATGGTTCAATTGCGTGGAGCGTATCGCTTAACTATAAATGCAGTGCCAAGATTGCTCCTGTTAATGGAGGTTCAAGAAAGGCAAGGCTCTAGTTTAAGTTTTCGAGTGTATATTTAGTGATCCCATGTTTTTTCAGGCGCATTTGTTTGCAGATATATGTGGTTGCAGAGGATAGAGTGCTGAAAATCAACCCCCTAAACATTGGGGGTTCTGAATCTGCTGTGCAAGTGTTTTTTGGCCCGAAACAACCGGGTGCAGAAACGCCAGGAGAGATTGTTGGCATCGCTGTGAGCATATCCAGTTCTCGGGTTCTCATCACTGTCAAGAAACGAGGGCTCTTCGCTTATAGGCTGCACGGGAAACTGGTGTGGAGTGCTGGCCCCGTGCTTTACCAACATGGATTTCGTCTAGGCTGCAGGAAAAGCCTTGCAGATTGTTACTTCTTGTCTGCTCCTGTGATTGATCATTGTGAAGCCAGTATTTATGTCAGTTACCTGAAGAAAACTCGATTTTGTCTGTTCTACTTAATGTTGCAGACTTGCAGGCCTAAATTCATTGTTGAGCATATAACCATTAATGTGCAATCCAACTATCAGCTTAGGTTTTTAGTTGAGATGGAGCACATGCTTCAATTTTCATGACTTCTCTGAGTTCTCTCTACTTGCAGATTTTGAATAATTGGGGAGAGCTGTATGCTTTGTCTACCACCACTCCTCATTTCCTATGGATCCAGGACTTGAGCTCATTCGGGAACATATCTGCAATTACGCCTGGAAATAATGGTCTGGTGTATATCACTGTCCCGGATAGAGCTCTTATTCTAGCCCTAGATGTTTCGAGGGGGAATATTTCGTGGCAGGGAAGCGTTGGACCGTTGAGCACTGCAGATTACGCCCCCGTTGTTGATTCTAATGGTAAACATTAAACAACACTGTTCTGCATTTTGTGTTGTGGTAATATGGATATCAAATTCGGGTGTTTTCATTGTATAGTTTACTGATATCCCAGGTTGGATCTCGGTGGGATCATTGAATGGCTTCGTGTATTCCTTTTCACCACATGGGGTTGTCAAGAAGTTCCCTCGAGTGGCTGACCGAGCCTCTGTGATTCAAGTTAGTCCTATTCTGGACTGCTCGGGTTATGCACTCTATGTTTCTCAGACAGAAATGGATGGAAAGGTTAGCCAGATAATTGGGGATTATACTTTCATCACAGCTATGAATCCAAGAACTGTTGCCTTCACAATGCTTGTTCCAGCCTCGGGATCTTTGTTATTCTCTGAGAAATACCCCGGTAAACGCCATTCCTGCTTCCCAACTTCATACCCTGCCTGTCTTGCATATTCTGTATTCGTGTTCTTGATGATGATCATAGGTCCATTCTCGTCGAGGCTGGTTGAGAGTGATCTAAGGCGTTTCGTTTGCGATGAACAGATCATTCTGGCCTTTTTTGCAGCTTCGAGTGAGTAATACAGCTCAGATTAATATTCTCTCTGCGTTTCATCGTTGTGGCTAATGAAATTCCGATTTCCTGCAGGGATTAATAACCCCTTCCAATGCATCAGCACGCGTAATGATCCTATTCCTATTACAGCCATTTGATTCGAATCCCACGATTTCCAAGTCCCGGGTTAATCGTGTTATGTTCTTGATTCAGGTCAGAAGTTTGCAGTTAGCTGCTCACAGATCACACCAAAAAGCATCAATATCTATACTGGTAACCCGGTTTTGTTTCGTTTCTTGACAGTTTTGTCTTCAAGTCCCGCGTTAAAATCCTCTTGCTCCCTCCAGGTAACGAGAGGGCAGTCGTGTTGTTTCTGTCATTCGAAACAACTTTACTAGTAGTTCTAGCAGCACTGGTGAGATTCTGCTGTGTTTTCTGGAACAAGAAGAAGCTCCAAGGCCAAGAACTTGGAAAATTCCTGGAAAAGAGAGTAATAAAATCCCTCTGCAATTCTCAAGCTCAATCGAGATTCGGTTTTGAGTATGTTATAAATTGTGTTCTTGTTGTCATTTAGCATTCTCTTCAGCTCCAGAAGAAGGCATTTGACAGGACAATATCAGAACTGGAGCAAAAAGCTGCAAATGAAGTTGCAGGAGCTGAGGTGATAGAGCAGCTGGGAGATCTGGTGAGGGAGAGGGGAGGCGTGGAGAGGAAGCTCTCGACAACGTATAGTTTGGGCAGAGACGAAACCGGGCTGCAAGGATCCCTGCTGCCTTTGTCTGACAGGACAACGCGGAGCTTCTCTTTTCGAGATGCAAACAAGGAGAGCATCACTGTGTTTCACACTGCAGACAGTACTGAGTCTGATCTTGGTGAAGCATGGAGTTGCAGCGACGAAGATGATGAGGAGGACGAGGACGAGGAGATTGGCGAAGAAGAGTACGAGGCTAGTCCTTCGAGCTCGGGCTCGAGCTCCAATGGAGGTTTGAGTGCTTCATTTGATGGCATTGAGGATGCAGGGATTGTCCCTGCAGCAAAAGCAGTCATCAAGTAGTTAAATTTTAAACAATTGTGTATTTTACATATTTAAAAAATAGGTAAATTTGAACACTTGTTAGTTTAAGATAGAAAATAAAATTTTGAAATGAAAGATGGCAATCTTTTTTTTTTCTTTTTTTGGGTTTACTAGTGTGCAATTGTGCATTTGGTTTTTTGTTTGAATTAATATAATTCATTTTTTATTTGATATAACAATTAAATAAAAACAAAATAACAAATTTGGACTTTTGATACGTTCAATTGGTTCAATAGCCCAAATAATAAGACCAAGGAGACGGAACCATGACCCATGAATATGGTCCAATCAGTTTTCCTAATTGATCGGTTTGCATTAACTGGATATACGTGCTTAGCTGACATCAACACATAGTAGCTTGGTGGTAGGCTTGTTAGAGCATCCTTAGTAGTTAGTAGTTTATCTCCGTTGTGATTTTGAGGGGTTTTTGTAAGTGTGATTAGGAAAGAAATAAAAATGTGGGTGAAAAATAAAAATAAAAAATAAAATAAATTTTGACATTTATATTAAAAAAAAATAAAAAAAAAATGTAGTTCAGAAGTCAGAGTGCCCGCCAGTTGTGTGGAACACGCGCCCGCTATGGGCGCAAGATGCGCACATCTGTCTTTTTTTTAAAAAAAAAATTAAAATTAAATTCTAACATGATCTCGTGTTTTGAGGAGCAATAACTAAGCAAATAAACCCCCACTCCACATCTACAAAGAACCCACTCAAGTTTTTTTCACCTGACATAAACCAATAATTATTCCCTAGTAGGGATGCTCTTATGTCTCCTGACAATACTCCCTAAAAGACTAATTAATTGGCATGTGTGTACTCAATAGTTGAAAGCTAGGCTTGACTAACAAACTACGTCTTCCAATTGAATCCCAACATGTAAGCACGACTTGTTATTATCGGGTAAACGGCTGAAATGTGAAAGAAATACAATTTGTTGACAAAAATGACAAGTTTTTGAAAGATGAACAAGATTAGGAAAAGAGAGTTTGGGACATGCGTTTCTTGTTAGAAATGCATGTCCCACATGCGTTTGACATTATTGTTTTTCTCCAAAATTAACCACAGACGCAAGGCGAATTGTGTATGATGTATTATATATGAGACGCAAGTCCCACTTGTGGTTCTCACCACCTGCGTCTCACCTGGCCAAAAGCATCATACCCTCTTAAAATTTGATGTGCCAAACAAACGTCTCAGCACATGGATAACCTTCCACAAAGAAAAACAAAGCAAGTCAAACGCATTAAATGGCGTGACAATCACTAAGGAGATTGTCTGCACAAACACCAAAAAGCTTATGAGAGGTCATGTTCTTTGAGCTCCGTGCACTGTTGAGTTGACTTTGCCCCATGACCCCTTGCGTGTCCTTCCGTCTTACCAGAAGTGATTCTCTCCGATGAGGGGCAAGAACACAGAACTCTAGTGAAGGCAAATAACAAAAATCGCTGGTGAAGATAGGTGTAGCCGAAGACCACAACTGTCGGGAACTACAAGTACCGCCTTACTGTCGGCGACCCACATCCGGAAAAAACAAAAAACGCCTGAAAAACAAAATAGACCTAAGCTATAGCTATGGTATCACGTCAAACCTTGGCCGTTCACTGAAAAAATCAACAAAGCAACCCGCGCACTCTGACCGGCGGTATTAGGTCGTCGGGGGTGAGAGATGCAAGTAGAAACTGCGTTTCTCGTACAATACGAGAAACACATTTTCCACTTGTGTTTGACCCATATGGTGTATACGACTTGCATCTCTGGCCAGTCGACTCGCAAAAGCCCGCCAGAAATTAAGTTCGATGTGAGACGGGTCAGTCCGCTTTGACATTACTACTACCAACCAAACAAAAAACCTTCAATTTTAAAAATTACAGGGGTTGTGGGGGGGGGGGGTATTTATCCACCCATGTTTAAGTTATTTAGCCGTATGCTATGATTCAAAACTTAACAAAGAGTAAGTACAATCGAGTTAAGTCGTTCTTAACTAAGAGTGTAAACCATTGTCAGAGGAGGAGCCCATGGCGACAACTTCTACGATAAGGTTTGAACCATGACTGGTGGCCAATTACTTGAAACGTAACATTGTCACCGTGCATGGAAGTCATCGTCTTCATTTGCATTCCAATCGCCATGAAATGTCTCGAGCTCAAGGTCAGTGTCCCTATTCTCTGTACCCAATATATTTAGATATGCTTAATTCGTTTAGTTTATTTTCACGGCACAAACACAAAACAAACGAGAGGAGAGATAGTAGGGTTTTGATGGATAAAATGGTAATGTAATTACTGTTGTACAACGCATATATACATTTATATATATCCAACCAGCTATAAACAACGTAAACTAATTGTGACTGCGAATTTCCATTGTGAAACAAAAAATCTTAAATCAAAAGTAAACTAATAATTTTAATATTGATTTTTGGATGACGATGAATAATTTTAATATTGATTTTGATTTGATATGCTGAAATGAAGCTAATATTTTTCTTTTTATTTTTATTTTTTAAAATAAAACAAATATCTGTTTAAATTGGGCGAATTTACTACGATTTCCAATTTTATTCGAATTTATTATTATCCGATTAGGACAAGGATGGCACTCCCCAGATCGAAGAAATCGACGTGGACGCAAAGTCGCAGCAGCCAGCGGTACCGAGTAGCGAAGCGCCGCACTGCAGCGCCCCAAATTTGGTCTTTTTTTGGGATCTCCGGAGAAGATCTCTCTTCTCTGTCGCCATCTCTCGCATCTTTTCACGGCGAATCTAGCTCCTCTTCAACTATTCTGCCGGCTTCTCCCGCCTCCTTTCTAAAATACACTATTATTGCAGGTAAATTCGAAACCCTAGTTTAGTTTTCCCTCTTCTCATTCCCATTTAGGCAGTCACTACTCACTACCTTCCAAATATTGGAAGAGCACGCATTTTGTTACGTCTTTGTGAGCAATTATCCGTGTAAATTCAATAACGATACTAACTCCGGCAGAGACTTTAAGCTTCGTGTAAGTAATTTCTTCAGTATTTTTCACTCCAGTAGAGTTGCTAGAGGCGTCCCGTTCAGATTCAAGTTTTTGAAAGCAGACTGCGCCTTTCTCTTTTTTACAACTCGGTTTTGATTTTTTATTTATTTATTTTGATTTGTTTGATTTGTTTTGTTTTGTTTTGGGGTCTCTGTTCGCGTTGATTTATTTGGAGTCATGGTACTGAAGCTAAAGCTGAAGAATGGGATTATAATAGACAGCTTCTGCTTCCTGAAAGTTCTGCTATCTTTCTAACTTTCACCTCTACTGTCACTGCGTTTTAAAGTTTGGTCTTGTAATTGAAGTTGAAGTCTTTGCAATGTATGCAGTGTCAAATTTATTGGCTGTGAAATGCTCGATTTCCAATTACACAGATTTGTTTACTTATTATTATTTTTAAAATATTTTTTTTTTACCTTCCACAGTACCATACATTTTGCATGCTTAAAGTTATGACCTGATTGTAAGTTACTATCATATTGTAAAGTTTTGCTACTAAGAAGTAAATGAACCATGCAGATCATTTCCTTGCCTAATTTGTGCCCTCTGAAAAGTACTCAATGGAGGCTGAGAATTTCATCAGTCTGCCTGCTTGTAGTGGTGCTGAATCTGAAACTGAAGATATTGACCCTGTTTGCGGACAAAGTAAAATTCTTTCTCTGCCTGGAGAATCTGAGGCTATTGAAGAGAGAGCAAACAATGAGACTCCACAAAACAATGGCAATGTTGGAAGTGAAGGAACCCAATTACTGCATGGAATGGATAATGACATAGATTTTGGAAAAAATCACTCTGCATTTCAAGTTAGCATTGAAATCAATCAAACACTTGAGGTTACAGAGAAGATGAATTCTGTCAACTCTAAGATGTGCACTGACAATGGTTTTGTAACTGTTAAAGACGACAGCAATATTGCTAGCCACAGAGAAGATCCTCATCTTGTCAGGAGATCAGAGATTGGTCCAAGTGGTATGTGCAATTTTTTTTAAAAAGATTATGTACTACTATTTCAATGTCAGTGGTCAATGGTATAGTTTTAACTTTTAAGAGAACAAGTGGCAGCTTCAACAAATGAATATCTTTACAGTATTATTCTTTCGGGTTATGCTAATAATTTTTTAAAATATTGCCCAGTTTCCTTGCTTTTCTGGGTTACATTTTTGTTCCTAACATTCTCTTGTCCACATGCCTGTCAGCCTTATCTGGTGCCAAGAGACCTCGATCAACTCTTGACGAGGAGCAACCTTCAGTACATGTTATTTATAACGCTCTAACAAGGTTTGAATAAAAGCACTTACTTTTTTCTTTTTCTTCTTTAGTTATAATAACCATAATTTTCTTTTTCTGTGCTTAACTTTATTTGATAAGTTAGGATGGTAAGTTAATAGTGTTTGAACTATACATTGCTCAAACTCTAATGAGTTAATAATGTTTTTTCAGAGAGAGTAAACAGAAGCTTGAGGAACTGTTACGACAGTGGTCACAATGGCATGCTAAGCATTGCTCTTCATTAAATGTGAGTTTAATTTATATTTGACAGTTAAAAGATATTTGAATATTTGTATTTCAATGTTGTCCCCCATGAAAACAATCTTCCAAAACCTTGGATACTGGGAGAACTAGAATAACCTATTTGCCTATTCCTTGCTTATTTTGTGTTTAGTTGTTCATTCCTTCTTTATATTTGTTCTTACTCAGGATTCCACAAAAGGCCTTGAGTCTGGCGAGGAGACTTACTTCCCTGCTCTTCATGTTGGTTTGGAGAAGCCCTGTGCAGTGGTATATTCCTATTTCTGCACGTAGTTCAAACCCCCCAAATTCCATTGTTAAGAAATTAACTGCCTAGTAATATGATATCGTAGCTTTGTTAGTTTTTGCTGCATTATTGCTTGTATTACTATTGATGTGTATTGGCTTCATTGCAACCAAAATAATAACGCTTGTCACATAGTTGCTTAGTTCAAGTGTCTATTGTAATTATGTAATTAGCTAACTAAAAGATGCTCTTTAAGATATATCTAACTAATTTGTTATACTGTTCATTTTGTTAGTCTTTTTGGATGGACGACCTACC